TAGTTTAATAAAATTTTGAATGTAAGACACTAAAACCTTGTGTCATGCACAGTAAAGGGTACCCAGGCCAATAGGGTTAATATGACTTTAAACCACAAATTAGTTAACTACTAGATATGGTTTGATTACATGTAGGTAGCTGATCTTATGTTACTTTAAATGCAACAATTTTTTAGTCACATGAAATATTTTATACTAATGTGTTTCATCCATTAATTTGGTTGGATCTAGCTTTTAAATGGTACATACATTTGATTATAAATATGTATGAAGTAGAATGTCTAATGCAGTATAACTCTTAAAATAATGGAAGAAATAATAAAGTGTATACACAAAGGGTTAATCACACTTTGTATGAATGATTTGTATATGAGCATGCCACTTAGGTGTGATCTAAAACACCATGAACAGTACATTTAGCATCTACACACTTGACTCACAGCAATTTCTCACTAGCGACATGCTGCAACTGATGGTGTTAATAAATGTTCCACAACCTTTCTAAAAATGGCTATTTGTATAATGACATTTAATATGAAATTATATGAAGCCAAAAGACACAACACTTTGAAATAGGAAACCTTCAGTGTTCTCCAAGGAAGCAAAATAACTCACCTGCAGAGTATTTCAGGTAGTAACATGCACTGAAACTGTATCTCAAACCAATTCAGAGCAAGCCTCTCATCTGCCAAATGAAGACTGATTACAAAAGAGGACCCTCCAACTTCAAAAGCTCTTGAAATAAAACTGGACACTAATCCTTTGTTACTAATGTTACAAAAGGTCATTCTGACTGCAAAATTGTGTATTTGTATTCAAAATGCAATAAAAAATATAACATAATCAACTTAACTAATTTTTTGCCAGAAAAAGTATGAAAATATTAATTATACTTTATATATAATGGTTATAAATTTTATAAATAGTTCAAAATATGTTTAAAGTTTTGTTTTTGTGGTATTTGAAAGTGTCTGAACTGCATACTGTGGATTTCTCTCTTTCCCTCCACTCCCCTTATATATTTTACATTAATATTTACCAATAAATTATGCATAAATACAAATATAGTGACATACATCTCAAGCTTCAACTAGTAATGTAAGCTGATCTGTGGTTTTATTGTATTTACCACTCATAGAGGGCCTTAAGAGATGGTACCTCACCTTTAAACATAGATATGCCTTTCAATTCAAAAAGCGTTGTGTGGGAGAGATTCTAAGCTTCAAAATGATCTAAATAGTTTGCTAATCATTTTTCACAGCATTTTTATCCCTTTATAAGTTTGAAAGAGTAGTAGAAACACCACATTTGAAGGTTGAACCTAGTGTTTGTAGAAATGGTTTCCAACTAATTCAAGGGCTATACATTTTTGTACTTTTTGATGAAATTTCTCTTGTTGATACTGGGTGTGTGTTTAAAATATGTCACTTCCATTTGAAAGCTACAGAAATATCTTTGTATTGGTATTTAAAGTTAAAGCATAGGCCTAAAGGATGGTACAGTGGGGTTCAATTGTAAGTCATTATATACTAATGGAAAAAAGAAACTGTGCAGGACTTAAAATGGAATAAAATTCATATACATTAGGTTTAGTGTTATGACATATAAAAAAATCAATACAGGATATGTTGTTGAACATATTGGGTAGTACTCGACTTGGTTGTATGAGATTTTTCACGTTTCGTGAATACATTTTTGTTTATTCAAATTTCGTACCCACGATTTTTCTCTGACAATGTTTTCTGAATAAACAGGTGTAAAACGTTTATTCAGGCTCCAGTCATTCAGGAAATCATTTTTGTTTCACCGAGAATTACCCTTCTGTGATGGCAAGGCTCAGTGAATATGAACATCTTAACACAGTCGGAATGCTGCAGGCTGGTGTATCACAGAACATTGTTGCAAGACGTTTCGGAATCCATCGGAACACCATCCACTCTTTGTTTCACCGAGAATTACCCTTCTGTGATGCCAAGGCTCAGTGAATATGAACGTCTTAACACAGTCGGAATGCTGCAGGCTGGTGTGGCACAGAACATTGTTGCAAGACGTTTCGGAATCCATCGGAACACCATCCACTCTTTGTTTAACTGAGAATTATCCTTCTGTGATGCCAAGGCTCAGTGAATATGAACGTCTTAATGCAGTCAGAATGCTGCAGGCTGGTGTGGCACAGAACATTGTTGCAAGACGTTTCGGAATCCATCTGAACACCATCCACTCTTTATGGCGACGGTTTCAACAATCAGGAAATATCCGAGATCGATGAAATGGAAAGGCGTTTACGTCGTCTACCAAATCAGCCATTAACGTTGGCGGATCTGGGCACAGCATTAACTAACATCTGGAATAACATTCCACAGGCCTTTTTGAACAATTTAGTGTCATCAATGAGGTGCCGTTGTCAAGCATGTGTGAATGCAAATAGTGGACACACGCAATATTAGCCCTGAATACCAGCGTCTTTCAAATGCCCTAAAAATTACGTTTGTTGATGTTAACATTAAATTTTGTAACCAATGCATTTGTTAACAATACTGCAAAATTAAAATTATATTTGTTTGATTTTTCTTGATTTTTTTCATATTTTCAGTGATGCACAGTTTCTATTTTTCCGCTAGTATATATTCTGTGTATGTATTTTGTAGTGAGTTCTGTAAATGTTTCAACAGAAAAAAAACATACCAAAGGAAAGTGGTAAAGTTAAAATGTTAATGAATATAAAATTGGCAGACTCAGTGTTTATAGTTGATAAAAGTTCACAATCCTCTGGCCATATATCAAAATCAACAGTTGTCTTCATAAGAAAGATAAATGAAAAACTATCATCACAGCAATTCTATGTAACTACATATGTGTCATGTAGCTGCAGTGGACTTACCTTTGATGTACTTAAATGCAGTCTCACAAGCTGACATTCATTCATTAGAAATCCATAGAATGTTTGTGAAAATGTGTGATCTAAGAGTGATCCCACTGTGCTTCACAGGACTTTATTGCACCGAAAATTTTAGTGGCAAGTAATTGTGTTTAATCAAAATATTGAGACTGTGCATGATCATTGATCATAATATTGAGACTGTGCATGAAAATTTTAGTGGCAAGTAATTGTGTTTAATCATAATATTGAGACTGTGCATGATCATTGATGTCGGAAGTAGTTCCATACACAAAACTTGAAATATTATTCTAATGAAATGCATGAAGTTGAATGTACTTCTTTGTTTATTAGGCCAATCACAACACCTAAAGAGGATTAATAACTAACACCAATAAAAAGTA